GTATTTTCTCAAGTTTGCGGTCGTCACGAGTAATTTAGCGTCGCGACTTGCTTCGGGCAGAAAGCTAAAGGCAGTAATCCTATCTGGATCCATGAGGAGCTTTAAACTGGTCGTTTTGTTAACTGCACAGAAAAAAGAGCTCGTTAGCATGGACCAAAAGAGTTCACAAATTTATAAAAATGGAAAACCTACTTGGGTCTTAGAAATAACAAATGCAATCGTAACAAAAGAAAAAGAACTTCGTCTCATATGCTCCAACATTGCTCAGGTAACTGTGTATTCCTGCCTCGATTGTAGGTCGCTTAGAAAGATAGTAAGAATCCTTGTCCTTACTTTTCTTCAGTATGTACGAGCAACCAAGCTCCACTGCGGTTAGCTCGCCCAATCCACTCTCACGGCACGTAATGTACATATCTATGGCTATCATGTACGTGTTGGGCATGAGCTGAAGTGGTGCGATCCTGAAATGGTCGAGGACTGACCTGACAAAAGGGTGGAAGGGGATCAACCCTCCATTCTTGAATATACTCTCAGAGATCGCAACCAGCCCTCATGGCGGATTTTGAGCTACGCGTGTCCTATCTCAGAAGGCATCCACACGAAGAGCGTATTGCTCTACTACCTTCTCAAGATCCTCGGCAGTCATCACCGACAAGATCTCTTGAGGGGGATCCACAGGAGCATCCTATGCTGGCAAACTGGTCCCTTCCTCGGCTCTGGTCGTTGAGGGGTCCATTCTACTGCAGTCTACAAAAGCGACAAGTGTTAGACCAGTCGTCACAGTCACAAAATTAAACCTAAATACCGTAGTTAGCGGTAAGCAGGATCAAATCCACAGGGAGCAAGACTAACAATCTAATGTATTTTAAGTAACGGAAATGAAATTGGCAATTGATTAAAGAAACTAAATAGACTAAATGCAAATAATGAAATAGTGCAATTAAAACTAATAAAGACTTTATAATAAAAATGTTGCCGTTACGTTTTTGTTTTGACATGAGACTGACTCACACAATTCTTTTTTTTCCTTTACGATCCCCTAAACCTACAAGGCAAGGTAAATCAATGAAATGGCTTCCCGACCCTCTAGGTATAATCTATCCTGTCTCACCCGATCACTCAAGTTCGATTGGTTAAAGACTATCATTGAACGTCGATAAACGCTACAAGGCAATACCACTAGTTGGTACGCGATTAACAAATACAATTTGTCAACACGTAATATCCAATCAACCAACTTCACAATAAACGCAACAATAGTAGAAATTAAATTAAATCCGAACACAACTCAATTACAATCGATGCGAAGTAATGAAAAGCAATATTCATCATTTAATTATTCCAAACCAACGTTTATCATTCAGCAAGTTCTATGAAAACATTAAATCATAATGGACAGCAATATTCATCACAAGTTATGCTCAAATCATATTAAAGTATCGAAATCAAACATGAAACGAAAACAAATATAATCTGAAGCACAATACTAACAAATGTCCTATAATCGGGCTCATCCAACTAGTCGAGAGCTGATGAGGAGAGTCGTGAAGTCAATCCCGATCTCGCCCATGCCACAACAGACAACCAGGAACTTAGCCGCTCATGGTGGTGATGACGGAGGTCGAAACGGTGGAAACGAAATTGACCATGGCGAAGAGGAGGTAACCGACAGCGATATGATGTGAAGAAGGGGCGAAAACGACCAACGGACAGCCCGGAATATGAACAGTTGCACTTCAGCAGAAAAGGTTAATTTTCCGGCAGGTCTTCCAAAAAATGGTGGCGGAAATGGGATCCAAAGGTACCGATGTAAAGCTCTAGTGATGGGGAGTTTAGATCAGGTCCTGAGGAGGTGAGAAGTCACCGGAAATGAGCAGGATCTAGCCTAGAAGATGAAGAGGCGCGGCGGCAAAATCGCGGATTCCGACGGCTGAAGCTAGGGAAGTGTAGATCCAGCCGTGGGGAAGGGAGATCGACCCTTGGGGAGCTAAAACGTCACCAAAAAATGGCCAAAACTGGCCTGGAAGACGAACAGTCATGGTGGTGGAAGACGAAAAGCCGCGGTTGCATTCCGTGATTCGCGGTGGTGGTCCGGGACAATGGGATGACGACGATCTGCGCACGAGGAAGCCGAAGAGTCGTCGGAGGTCGCCGGAAATGGAAGATGAAGGGTCACCGGAAAAAATGATGAACAGCCCTCCCTGTTCACGCGAACTACAGTTTTCTTTTATAGAACAAATTGCAAAATATTGTTTGTCCCTGCACAATTGAAAAGTGACAAAATCAGCCCCTTAAAACATGACATTTTACCCCCTAAACAGCATAAATGAGACAAAATCACCCTTAATCCATAAAACACAACCTAATATCAACTCATATACTTTCCAAAATCATTCCAAACACGTTAAATTCATAAGAAAAATATTAGAAAGTGATTTTCATGAATAAATTCATAAATTCTTTAATTGTCTCAATATACTTCAATTTAATCACACATAGGGTATTTTTATCACCAAAATACAGTCACTTTCATGACTCTAACAACAAGTAGGGAATCGTTTAGTCCTCGTACACTATTCCGTACGATGACGTGGAGGTAAAAGTAAATAATTTCTTCCTTAAACACTAGAAAAACCCTAACAGGGTATGTTAAGAGCCACCATTCATGGCTCGAACCCAAGGAGAATGTTTCATCTCCGGTCAACTATTGGCAGACTGTCATCGCATAGCCTCCATCGAAAGCAAAAAATAATGAAAATGGCAGAAAGAACAACTCTTACCTCTCGAAATGAGAAGATTAATACTCCTGTTCAGAATATCAAGTGCGCACCAGGTTTGAAAAGCAACGAATAAGATCACGAAAATCTCTTGCTCTCTCTAAGAAGATGAATATTGTGACATTGCCTGAAGTGAACCTGGGTTTTTATAGTGAAAGAAATGGCGTTTTGGTTTCTCGAAGTCAAACAACGTTTGGGCGGAAAAACGCATCTCTCCGTTGATCGTGACCACGTGTCACAAATCAACAAAGAAGAGTGACCGTCACGCTTCAAGAAACCAAATCGTCATTCTCTTCCATTGAAAAACTCAAGCGACGACACGTTCTCCTTCTTCCACATTAAATGCGCCTACGTCCGCATTTAATGCTCTGACAGGGAATGTCGTTTCAGCATGGCTCGCATTTAATGCACATGGTTGGCACTTATTGCTCATAAGACACGTCTGTCAGAACAAAAGGTATTTCATTAAATGTATCCACTACAAAAGCGCAACGGATAACACCTAAAGAGGTCGTTACGAAAAACACTTCGTCTTGTCAGTCGCGAATCGACGTGAATCTTTGATCTTATCCTATGCAAGTCATGAGGCGACGTGACTCAATTTGTATCAGTTCTGAATTAACACGATCCCTTGTCTTCTATAAAGAATTCTAAGTGCAATTAGGTCGTGAACTTCGGAAGAAAAAATCATGGCACTGGTATGGTCTAAGAGCAGGCCGCTCATCCTTAAAATAATGACCATCTCAGGTTGCATGCATAAAAGTGTCTCCTCGACCTATTTATTGGTGGACCAGAATCTCTCCAAAAGCGTCAGGTCACGACATAATATATAGTTTCCAAGGTTCGATTCTCAAACCTTAAAAACTAGGGGACTTCTATTATGCCTGGAAAAGTAGGGCTGACACAGAGCCCATTCAGCATGGCCAGAGCCTAGGTAAACCCATAGCCATCCAAGCGTAGCCACGTCGTGTGATGACATGAGCAGTATGCTTCTGTCAGTGCAAAAGGCTGTAGAAGGTCCACGTGTCCAATCCCTACACAAATCGTGTAAATCGCTCTTGTAGGTGGGCGACGGGACATAAAGGAGGATTTGCACGGATAATCTGACCAACTCAGAGATTCAGTAATCATAACCTTAACCCATCCCACTATAAATAGAAGGCTCCTCTCTCGTTTGTGGGATTGGCTAATTTCTCTCTGGAATAGCATATACACACACACTCTCTCTCTCTTTTGTAAACTCTTGTAAGTTAGCTCGTTGAACGCTACCTAATCTCAAATATACCAATATAATATCAGTAGACGTAGGATTTACTTACTTGAGCATCCGAACCACTTCAAACATTGTTCTTTTGTTTCTATTCAGTTCATTATCTCTATACGCGTGTGTCATCTAAGTCAGCTCAGCATTTCCCACATGCATTTGGTTGGTGTCAAAATCACGCATCAACAATATTGTTGACAACTTAACTGATCTTACAACTACCATGTTTAAATCTATTTTGGAAAATTGTAAGAAACTTAAGTGTGCCTTTGATTCGTGATCCAAAAATATTTTCAAAAAGTTAGTACAGTTTATAGATCTGATTCAATTTTACATATATGTTTCCTACAACTTGTAACAGGCGTCAAACAACTTCCATGGAAGAATCTTCAATATCTTGACCTTGGTTCCAACTTCTTGGATGGACCAATTCCAGTTCCGCCACCTGACATGAAAGTCTTTTTAGTATCAAACAATAATCTGACAGGAGAAATACCTCATTTAATAGGCAATATGAGTACCCTTGAAGTTCTTGATCTTTCCAACAATAGCTTGACGGGTACCATTCCAGAATGCATGGGACACTTCAGCAACAGTTTGCGCGTGTTGGATCTGCAGGAGAATAAGTTTCATGGCAACATTCCTGGAGTATTTACAAAGGGCCATGACTTGAGGACCCTCAACTTCAATGGCAATGAATTGAAAGGGCCAATCCCAACATCTTTGCTTAATTGTACAAAGTTGGAAGTCCTAGATCTGGGAAATAACAACATAAACGGGTCCTTCCCAAAATGGTTGGGAAGCCTTCCGGCATTACAGGTTCTTGTTCTTCGTTCTAATAAATTTTATGGTCTTGTAACGGATCCTGAAACTAGTAATACTTCTTTCTCTAAGTTGAGAATTTTTAATATCTCAAACAACAATTTTAATGGCTTATTACCTGTGATTATTTTGAGAATATGAAATCCATGATGAGTGTTAGTGGTGAAGTTAAAAAGAAGCCTCAGTATATGGGAGACAGGTATTATGAAGATTCAGTGACGCTTTTAGTTAAAAAGCTCGAGGTTAAACTAGTGAAAATTCTTACTATTTTCTGTACCATTGATTTCTTGAATAATAGCTTTAATGGTACGATTCCAGAAGTAATTGGAAAGCTTCGAGCACTTAATCACCTCAACCTTTCTCAAAACAGTCTTACAGGTCAGATTCCTCCATCGTTGGGCAATTTGGAAGGAGTCGAAGTCTTAGACCTTTCTTCAAACAAACTTGGTGGGAGAATGCCATGGCAGTTAACTGATTTGACATTTCTCTCATTGCTGAACTTGTCACAAAACTAGCTTGTAGGACTTATTCCTGAAGGGAACCAATTCGATACATTCTCAAGTGATTCGCACGAAGGAAACAAGGGATTATGTGGATTTCCTTTAAAGAAGAAATGCAGCAACGGTGAGCCTCCCCAGCCATCCCCAAGATCAGGTGATACAAACTCTGAAAAAGATTTTGGCTGGAAAGTTGTGTTGATGGGTTATGGATGTGGGACGCCGTTTGGATTGATTATTGGATGTCTTGTGTTTACAACAGGAAAGCCTCAATGGCTTGTAAACGCAGTTGAAGGGATTTCCCACAAAACGGTGAGAAGGATTAAGAACAAACAGAAAAGAAGAAGAAATTAGTGCTTGAAAGTAGTTTTCTCCTTTTGGTATCATGTATCAGCCATACATAATGTAATCGACTTTAGCAATAACAAACTATTTTCTCCTTCTGCCTCAGTGTTCTTTCTCTTATGAATTTTAATTCAATTGTCCGGATCTCTTCAAATTATACAAACCCTTTTGCCCTTATAGACAGAAAGTTCTGTAATTGTATGGTCTAATTTAGTCAGCACATCTTGGAACAATCACAGTTTGCTGATAAACCATGTTTTAACCCCTAGTTTTAACCAGGACTAATTCAAAAAAAGAAAAACAATGTCCATTCGGAAACCCAAAAAAAACAAGATTGGGAATTCTTCAATATCATCAACATATAGAATTCCAAAGTAGTCTAAATTTTTCAGTCTTAATACATTTGAAACTGTCAAAATTGCAGTTACCATGCCACTGCATTCTCTTGAAATGTCCAGTGCCTTAAGAACCGTGATTCAACCCAGGAGAGCTAACTTCCCAATTTCTTCTAAGCCTAATATTTCCCAGGAATTATCAAGAATGATGAGGACTTTTTCGTCATTTCCTACGAGGTCTGCATTGTGTTTTAAGTTTTAATTAATTTCTTGGTAAAACCTTTCAAGTCAAGCTCGTTGATGAGCTGATTTTGCGTATGAAAATGAAACCATTGTATTTTGTTCATTTTCTCCCAGACTTTATTTACTCAAATTAACAGTCAAATATTAATAGTTTAATGAGTGTAAATACTATTTATCCTTTTATTGACTTAGAAGTCCGCTGTGGGACCTCTAATGGTGAAATATCTTTCAAGTCTGGAGGCAGAGCACCATTCCAGGAAATTACCTGCAAATTATTGTAAACTTAATTGCAAACTCATCATAAGTTCATAACCATAGAATCAATAATCAATTCATGTTTCTATGCCCTAAGTTGCACAAATATAAAGTTATAGGATCTTGAAACTTGATGAACTTTCACACATACACACACACACACATATATATATATAAGAAATACATACCTGATTCCATAGTTTGAAAATAAAAACTTGAATCTTGATTGAATAAAAAATACAGTGTTTCTCTCCCTTTCTTCCCTTTCTATAATCGCAAAAACTCTTTTGATGGAAAGAGAAAAATTTTAGCGTATATTGGAATAGAGAGAGGACCCACCTTTTATGTTGTAATTATTTTATTAACTGATGCAACCTTTCCATCAAAGGTTAAAGACAAATATGTCCTTCAATTAAATTAATAATTACTAAACCTTATATTATATTTAATTCACATGGACCACTTTATAAGAATTATAAATAATTCTAACAATTACATGTAGAAAGCAAAGTTCTCAAAGCTACTTTTTCCAAATCGACTGTCGGTTTCACACAGGAATTGAGAAATTTGAAACTATGTTTCACGGGTCATTGGCAGATTTTATAGTAATAAAGACTTTGAAATAAACTAGCGACAATGAAAGTAGCAATGAGTGTTGTTACTGTTCTTCTAGTCTGTTGATACGTGATTTTAACACCAATGACTACGCATTTGCAAAGTGCTAAGAAGTTGCATATGAGGTAATTGTGAGATGTGTTTATGGTGCAGTGATGATGCTTGTTAGTTAGTACGTAAATAACAAGCTGACAAGAGAGAGTTTTAGCATGGTTCGAATGTTATGAGCAAGTCCTACATCCACTGTGTTTATATTATGGTTTCTTTTGTGATCATTAATGAAGATTACAAAGAGAACGATCTTTAAAGGGTTACAAGCATTTGAAGTATTTTAGGAGAATGATAAGTCAATCTCTTTCTAGTAGTGTGTCTTTGCTACTTTTTTCCATAAAACAAGTATGTGAATTTGATAATCAATCCCGTTGTGAGGAGTGGAGTTGCCTATTTATACTCTTTTTAGCTTCAGTTAATAAGTGTTTTTATAAGTTGTCTTGATTTGATGAAGATCTTCCTTTCTTTTGATTCGTTGGGAGCTTTCATTCATATCCTTAAATTAAATGAAATTTTGGCAGATGGCTGCACAAAATATCATTCTGAATTGGGGGTTGGTGGAGATGCCTACTAAGAGCTAATTGGTGGAGATGATGTTAACATATATTTTAGGCATAACACAGTCGGTTTTTTCAATTATTTACCATGTGTGACGCCTCAGAAGCATTTCATCAAACAATTGGTGGAAATCTCAAGCTAGAAAAGATCTAGCCTCCTTCACAAAATTCTAGAACCCTTTTGAGTTCTCTACACATTTGAAGATATCTCTTGAATTATTGGTAGTTGGTAAAAGATTTTAGGTCTTAAATCTCCAACATTGAATGTGGAACATTGTGTAAATCTAGACTGTTCATAATAAGTTAAAATTGCTCTAAATAGAAGGAGGTCTCATTTGGCCAAACCATCCAAGAATTGTAAGCTTAAGTAATAAAGAATGCTCTTTTCTCTAGCATAATCTTATGAGTTTGAGTGAGTATTCTCTCTTATTCTCAAAACTAGCAAGCTTGAGTTATCTAGTGGGGAAATGAATAGGGCCGTGACAATTGGTATCAGAGCTCGAAGTTCTTGGGCCGCTTACTAGATCCTTCCAACTAGCTGACTTTGTTGAGGTTTGAGTGGGACCACGAACATCCTTCCAACTAGCTTCTTGTAGAACTTTGAAAGCTCCAGAATCTATTGAGATATTGTGGCTTATTTTCCTATTTGTTCTCATGTTAAATTGTATGTCTTTAACCAAGTTCATTCAACTATGATTTTATCAATCGCATAGGAAAACCCTTTAATAAAGAATACAATTGTAAATACAAATAAAATTATGAGAGTCCTATTAAGAATTGAAATATGAGTCTAGTGGAAATATAATGTCCCATATATTGTGTATAAATATAGGGGCGAAAACTAATTCAAGGTTATGAGAGAATGTGAAAATATAAGATATTTGATGTAAGGGCTATTAAACACCATAGGTAGAGTGTCTTAAAAATTAGGATCGTTTCTACTTTAGGTATTGGTCTGTTAATTATATACCAGATTTATGATAGTGTCGTGTACTCTTGTATATCATGTTCATAAAACTATAGTGGATTTCTCTCATCTGTAAACGTGGCCGGGTTATTTTGAACCACGTAAATGTTGTGTCTCTTTTTGTGGTGTGGTTTTATTTCTAGGTTATTAATCTCAAATGTATGTTTTCTGTTGCACGGTCTCCTAACCAAATCATTTGAACTGAATCTTCAAAGGGGACAGAAATGGTTGGTAAGATAAATAATCTTTCTTTGCTTGATTAATTTATCCATTAAATATTTTGCACTCCATTATTTAAAAATTTGAAGGAACTTAGGTTTATATATTTCTTGGAAATCTCTTTATTTGCAATATCTTGACTTTTTCTTATGCTCTACTTTAGTTTTATGTTAAGAATTTTGTTGGTTATCTTTTGATTTTCTTTGTTCTTATGATCTAGGTTGATTTACAATCTGTTTTCAAAATTTTATTATAAGACTTATGCACATTTTGGTTTGATTGTGTACTTGTGCAAACTCTGGAACTTTGGAAAATAAAGGATCAGACTAACAAATAGGATTTAGAGTTTAATTTTTCATAAACTTGTTGACAGGTGTTAAACGACTTCCATGGAAGAACCTTCAATATCTTGACTTTCGTTCCAACTTGTTTGAAGGACCAACTCCAGTTCCTCCACCTAATATAAAAGTATTTTTTTATCTCAGACAATAATCTGACTAGAGAATTACCTCATTTAATATGTAAAATGAGAGACAATGAAGTCCTTGTTGAACTGGTTGTCACGTAGTTATCGATAATTAGGATTGAATCCATAGGGAACAAAGACTATCAACCTAAGGTATGATTGAGTAAACGAAAGTAAAATTGACAAGTTTTAATCAACTAGTATCCTAAGAAAATAATTTCAAGAAATCTAATTACTAACTGAAACACAATATTAAAGGTGTTGCCCTAAGGCTTCGGCTCAACTTAGAATTGGAACACAATTCTTCTTTTCACTCTTAGATTTCCTAAACTTACAAGGCTAGGCAAATCATATAAAAAGTCTTTCCACAACCAAGTATAATCTATCATGTCTCCCTGTTATCTTGGTCACAGGTTGATTGGTTAAAGACTATCTTCAATTAACAAAGAGACTCAATCAATTAAAACCACTAATTGGTACAGAGAGAATAAACACAATTCATAATCCCTGTAATACAATCACAAATTGAATGAAATCATATATAGTAGAAAGCTTACTGATAACAATATATAGCAAGATTGTAATAAGTATCGAAACAATTGGAAACCATAATCCATCATTCAAAGCTTTCAAACCCAACATTCAAGATGCAATCAATTTGATTTTACAATGAACACAATCCAACAAAGCATTTCATAATTCAAATCATGCATCATATTGTAATCATATTGGAACAAAACAATCCTCAAATCACAATACACAACAATCAAATCATATCTTCAACATGTAATTAATAATCCAATTAGTCAAAAGTTTAAGCGAAGAAAACTAGAGCCTGAATCCTAGTCTCGCTTCTACCTAACGGCAACCGGAGACCGCTCATAGTGGGCTGATAATGGATGAAGGGTCTGACCGGTCACTGCCAAATGTGGGAAACACGTCGCCCGCAGCTGGAATAAGAGATTGGTGGCTGAGGAAGACCAAAGGACACCAAAAGGTGAACGATCGTCCTCGATGACGGCGGATCTCGGTGAAAACACGTCAGCTACGGCTGAAACTGTGATAGCAAGGTTGTTGGCAGCTGTAGGAGAGATGACCGACAATTGGGGAGACAAATCGACACCAGGAAGTGGAAGAACCACGGCTGGAATGCGAAGAGACACGGTGACGCAAATGGACTCTGGACGGCGGTGGCTAAACGGTGACGGAAATGCTGGGGAACGCTAAAGGAAGGATGACCGCCACGAATCGACGCTGGAGAATCAGAATACCAAGAGACACGGCAGTGAAAATGGTGATGA